TTACGGTAACCTTTGAAATCTCTTGAATATCATGACGATGTAACAATGCATTCCTACTTAATCTAACTGGTCTGGACCACCTTTCGAATATAGAGCGACGTGAACCAAGTTCGGGATACCCTTGATCTGAGGTGCCAATTTGAAAGGATGAACGCCAATTCTACTTGAAAATAAAGCACCTGCACGAGCTTGTTAGACATAATAAATGCGCACAAAAGTATAACGAAACGCGGGAGAAAAAAAGATGTGGGATCTTGAGGTCAAAAATTAGGGTGTGACAGACATTGTGTTACTGCTCTAAGCTCATGGTGAACATGACAGTGTATTCCTTTTGGGTCTGTCATTAGGTGCCAATGGATCAAATCAGATGTGCACAAGCTTTATTGGGAGTAATATAAAGATGAAGATCAAGACATCATCAACTCTGATTTTGTGCATATAGAAGTCAAGGAAACAAGGCATTTACTCTGACATTCTGGAGATATTCCTAGCTGAATCTGAGTGATCTTGAAGGTAGTTTTGTCTACCTCTTCTATTATAGTATGGACTGTAAAATAAGGAATGTAAAGCTGCAGTGTGTAATGAAGAGATTCTTCATGTGTTTGGGTTCTCTCTTTTAGGGGGAGTGCTGATTATGTATGACAGGGGGAGCTGTATACCTGTCTGATGTGTAGCTGCATTACATGTGTTGACATTGTGCTAATATGAAGATGTGTACAAAGATTGCTGAAGCTCATACAAGCTTCTGTCCTTGGACCTCTGATGAGAATATTTGTGTGTCACAAATTGGGGATTTAAAATCAATTGTTACTTGGTAAGTATTTAATTGATTATCCTTAAATTGGTGATGTCAAAAGTGTCACTTCTGAAGGTGCAGCTTCAGACAAGGCAAGAACTCAATATTCAAGACTGATTCAGGGTGTACTCTCAAGGAGCTGTGGTTCAGGGATGATTTTACACTGGCTGAGTGAGTTCAGCAAGGAGGTTAAGCCAATGTCCATGATTGTTGGTGCAATCTTTTTATTAGAGATCAAGAAATGTCACACTTGGACACCATGTGCAGTATGAAAACTGAATAATATGTACATTTACTCCAATTTTTGTCAATTTTTGACTAAACCAAGGGGGAGTAAAATGTTGGTATCTACTGCTGCTGATCTGATGTTGCTTGGTTGTTTTAGCCAAAATTTACCAAAGGGGGAGATTGTTAGTTTCATGATTCTATGATATAGAATTGTCCATGGTTCTATGATTGGCTAAATTTTGGTAAAACATGATTCTGCACTGATGTTAAGCAGGATGTTATAACATCTCTATCTGTTGTGGTGACAGAACTACTGTGGAGTGTTTTAATGTGAATGTCATGCTGAATGTCGTGACATCCATCTGCTGTCATGACAGAACTGCTGTCATGTGTTTTTAATCACAATGTCATGACCAATGTCATGACATCACTGTCTAATACAGCAGGAGATGTGGTAACAGAACTGTTGTCATGTGTTTTAAACAGGATGACATTACCAATGTCATGACATCGCTGTCTGGTGCAGCAGGAGTTAGCAGGAGCAGATGACAAAACTGTTGTCATGTGTTTTAAACAGGATCTCATTACCAATGTCATGGCATCACTGTCTGGTGCAGCAGGAGCTGATGACAGAACTGCTGTCATGGATGTTATACTGAATGTCATGACATCGCTGTCTGGTACAACAGGTGTTGTTGTTTTATCACTTGACATAAGTTCTTTGGATATACCTCATCAGTATGTGTAGGCCAAAGTGATTCATTAGGAACAAAGTGCAAATTTAATTGGTGTTCATAAAAAGGATCTTTGAAACTTTTTAGGAAACTATAATATGCTTGTTTCTACTGTTGTGAAGAAGATTCTGCAGGAGTGTTCAGCAGGGGGAGTTTGGTTAGCTAAGAGTCAAGTAAGTTTGATGTCATGACTAGATGTTGTAACATTGATCGTATGACATCAGGCGCACAATTTTAGTTTTCTGGTATTTTACCTGAGATATCTCAGGATAGAATTCAGGAAACTTGTTATGGCTCCTTAGTTATCTCAGGCGAGATTCTAGTAAGGGTTGGACATAACATGAAGCAGCTGTGACCTAATTTAACAACACCTTGAATTATGGAAAGTTGCTTAACTTGGTTAAACCTAAAGTTTGTTACTTGTGACCAGCCCAAGCCCAATCTGCATTACTATTTAAGGAGGAGCAGAAGCAAGGGAAAATCAAGCACTCACAACAAGAAAAACTTGAGTGTAGAATTAAGGTCTAGGGTTTTGAGAGTCCATTGTGTGTGACCTTGTAAGTCACCCTTTGTATCTTTGGATACATTGTGGTAGACATGTTTGTGAGTGAAGAGGTTTGCTCTTCACGTGTGTCTAGGAATCTGTGCGCCAAGCAATTGTATGCTGTATAATTGCTTTGGTTATTGTGTATGAACAAGTGTGTTCATTGTATCACTCAAAGCTGTTAAGCAAGAGTGTGTGTCACTTGATCAAAGTTGTGAAGCAAGATCAAGATGTGTTTTGAAGAGTGTCTTCATATTGAAATTGTGAATTGATTATCACTGCGATGATTGTGGGGGAGTGAGTGGGAAACTCTGATCTAGTGGTCTCTAGGCTGAAGTGTCATTGGGTAGGTCTTAAGTGAGGAGTGCAAACAGGTTGTTTGACTTTGAATTAATTCTACTAATAGTGAATTTCCTCCTTGGCTTGGTAGCCCCCAGATGTAGGTGAGGTTGCACCGAATTGGGTAAACAATCCATTGTGTTATTTATCTTTCAACATTCACAATTCTGCACATTTTAAATGGTTAGATAAATAGTCTGTCAGTCTGCTGATGTTACAACAGACGTCATGACATTGGTACAATTTAAAGAAATTTAAATTGGTCATGTTCTGTCCTTGTTCTGTTTTAGTAGAGATCAATGTTCTTTGCATCCCTTAGGACATATGAGATCTGCATACCAGAATTTCAGAAGACAATTCGTGTGTTGCTAAAATGCTTATAATTAGATGAAGCCTTCAAATTGTGAAGGATTTGAACCTTTATCGAGTTCTTATTCAATCCAATACAATTAATGTAGTGGATTGTATTAACTCCTTGTTGTCCTTAGCATATCTTGATGCCATTGCTAGTGATTGTAGAATATTATTAAATATTTTATAGGTAGCTTCTATTATGTACTTGAGCATATTGTTTGAAATTTTCTGGCACATACAATACATGATGGTGATTCTGATGTCTCTGCATTAGAGTACAAAGTCATGACAGATGTTTTAACATCTTCAGACTGACATAAAAATTTATCCAACTGTAAATATGCAGCATTTTAAATGCAGAAAGATAAATAACACAGTCAATTGGTAACCCAGTTCGGTGCAATATCACCTACATCTGAAGGCATCCAAGCCATGAAGGAAATCCAATATGATAGCATTAGTTCAAAGCTAAACTCCCCCGTTTACAACTTCTTGTCTAATCATTACCTTGTACTTCTTCTACATGGAAATCACCATCTAGATATGAGATCCTCATCTCACTTCCTAACAAGCAGTCATAATCCCAATGACCATGCCACGAGAAACCAAAAAGAAAGATGCACCCTCTTTCTACTACAATATTAAATTAATACTCTTGACCAAGAACAATACTCAGTTTTGCTTCACAACTTCAACCAAGAACAATACTCAACTCCTGTGCTTAAAAACTTTAGAGTGAGAACGACATACAACAAACGCTATGTCTACCATAATGTAACAAAAGATACAAATGGTGATTTACAAAGTCACACGAGACTCTCAAACCTAACACTACAAAACCTCCCCTTATTTTACACAAGTAAAAGTCGTTAATACATTAGGTCTAAGCAGCTCTTTAAATATTCCTTAGCAATTCATGAGCTTCGAAATCTTCACCTAAATATTCCTTGATCCATACACTAAGGGCTGCACCAATTGTGCAGAGAAAGTCTCCTTAAATCTTGGAACAAAACAAAATATTTCCTAAATTGTCTCATCGTCAAATTTTGCCAATTTGTGTACAGCTGCAAATACAAAAACTTGTTCTAGATAAAATCTTCTTGACCTGCAAAAACTACTGAGATATATCCAAAAGAAATATCACAGAATCAAATCAAATCTATCAAGATTTGAAACTGCCAGAACAGATGTTCTAGCGCAACATGTTACAACATCTGTCAAAATATCACACACAACATCTTGCTGTGAATCATATTTTAGCAAAAATGTTGCCAATTCTAAAACCACAAATCTAACATTGTTTAATGTGGATGCTCACCACTCAATAGGTTTAGACAAATCTCATAGTTCTAGAACTTGGTTTGAGAACTTTCTCAGTGCTGATTTTGCCCCCTCTATTTTTTGTTGTTGTTGCTTATTAGAAATGATTTTCATAAAAAAAAAAGGCAGAATCAATTCTATTAAAAAAAATCAAATACCTTAAAATCATTTAAGAATCAATTCAACTTCTCTAAAATTATTAAACAGCGATTCAAAATCTAAACCAACCAACAAACGCAAAGTTATGAAGAGCAAAAACTTTTTTTTCACAACATCTTATTAATTTCAAATTTTTTACTTGTAGTACCACCTTTTATTCTAGAAAAAACAAAATATAAACCAAATAATCTTTTTATTTTTTCCAGTGAAAAAACGATTTGAAAAGTTTCTTACAAAAAGTTACTACTCAAGATCATAATCATCTCGAGGCTTGAGTATGTGGCGAGAAATGCACTGAAATTGAAATTTTTGTGAGCGACACATATCACAACACCTTCGTTTAAAGCTTCTGCTACGTGTTTCTCTCTCACCCTCTTTCTCTCTCTTCATCACTTGGTAATCTCAACTTTCTGCTATAATTTCTCACTTCAGTCTCGCAAAAATCAATTTTTTAGCGTAACAACTCTCACTGTAATGTGAAATTAACTTGAATTCAAATCCGATTTTTCTTTTGTAGGTTAATTCAATGGCTTCACTGATGCTCAGTGGAACAGGAAAGCTCACAGTGTTGAATTGCAGAACCCCAAATGGATTAGGTTTCACAACTTCAGATTTCCATGGTAAGAGCTTAAGTTTCCCCAAATCGAGTATCAATGCCACTTCTAGGGTTTCATATTCGAGGACCAATTTAGTACCTAAGTGTAGTAGTTCTAGTGTTTCATCATCATCTTCGAGGCCAAGCTCACAACCTAGGTTTATACAACACAAAAAAGAGGCGTATTGGTTTTATAGGTTTCTCTCAATTGTGTATGACCATGTTGTAAACCCTGGTCATTGGACTGAGGATATGAGAGATGAGGCTCTTGAACCGGCTGACCTCACTGATAGGAATATGCTTGTTGTTGATGTTGGTGGTGGGACTGGTTTTACCACTTTGGGTATTGTTAAGCATGTGGATGCTAAGAATGTCACCATTCTTGATCAGTCGCCTCATCAGCTTGCTAAAGCTAAGGAAAAGGAACCGCTTAAAGATTGTAAAATAATTGAAGGGGATGCTGAAGATCTCCCCTTTAAAACTGATTATGCTGATAGATATGTATCTGCAGGAAGGTACATCTCTTTCTTCACATATCTATGCTGTTTCATATGCCTTTAAATAATACTGCTTGCTTAGTTTCTGTAAAATTGTATTTGAGTGTTCTGATTTATGATCATCTCTGTAGCATCGGCCATTTTGATTGACAATGTCTCTAGTGTCTGACATGTATTAGTGTCCAATGGTATACCAACTCATGTAATTATATTCAATTGATTCAATCTGTGTTTGGTTCTGCGGCGAGGACGATTGATTTTGAGTCAGTTCTGTAAAATTGATTCGGGCTAAAAGTGACTTGAAGATAAAATGATTTATGTTTGGATAAATTCTTGCAAAAGTGAGTTGAATAGGAAATTTTAGTCTATAAATTGCGTTTAGACTCAAAAGTTACGAAGACTAGCTTCAAGTAGAATCAGTTCTAAAAAGCATAATCAATTCTACTCGAGAGTAACCAAACATGTCAAAATCAATTTTACATCTAAAATCGATTACGGGTGCTTCAAATGTGAAATCAAACATACACTCAATTTTTCACTTTTTACATGTGTGTACTTGTCATACATGTCTGTACTTGTGTCTGTGTCAATGCTTCATAGAAGACTTTTAGTATTTTTTGCATCTGTGTGTCTTTGTTGTGATCTTGATGTTGCTGCTCAAGTGTGTATAGATATAAAGTAGCTTTGTTTAAAAGAGGTGTATTTGTATGCCTTAGTTGCAATGTTGATAATATTGTTGTTCAAGTGTATAAAGATATGAAGTTGTTAGGTTTGACTGAGGTGGTAATGATATGCTTTCGTTTCTCAGCATTGAATACTGGCCAGATCCACAGCGTGGCATCAAGGAAGCATACAGAGTTTTGAAACTTGGGGGAAAGGCATGTTTAATTGGACCTGTCCACCCAACATTTTGGTTGTCACGTTTCTTTGCAGATGTATGGATGCTTTTCCCTACAGAAGAAGAGTATATTGAATGGTTTACGAAGGCAGGGTTTAAGAATGTCCAATTAAAAAGGATTGGCCCAAAATGGTACCGCGGAGTTCGCCGTCATGGCTTGATTATGGGTTGTTCGGTGACTGGTGTTAAGCCTGCATCTGGGGATTCTCCTTTGCAGGTATTTGTCTTCTTAGCTTTTCAATTATATTTTTTGTTGACTTTGCCCGTGTTTTTTTATAACTCAAATTAAAGGCGGGTTCTATGTGGTTGTTTCTCCTTAATGGGGTTTTGGTGCGTTTGTGCAAGTACATTACGATTCCTGCCATTTTATGACATACTGACAATAAAAAAGTATATGCTTTACTTGAGAGTTATTCCCTCCATCCTAAACTACAAGTAACTTGGAAAAAAATTTGCCCCAAATTAATTATCCATATCAATTAAACAATAATGTTCTTTTTCCTATCCTACCCTTTACTGTTTATTAATTTTCTTATCCCAATTCTATTAATTTCTTTCCCATACCATTAATAAAGGATAATTTTGCAAAGTACTAACTCATAATTTCTCCTTCCCATACAAAATTAAATATATTTCTTTACTTGTGGGAACTTGTCAAAGTGACTTATAATTTGGGATGGAGGGAGTAGCACTTAGCAGTGTGAACACCCTCATACTGACGACTCTTTCAGATTTAAAGCTATAATTTGTATCCTTTCAGATTAGATGGCTTACTTGAAGTATTTTAGAAACTTTTTATTTTAGTAGTGTGAACACCAACATACTGAACTGTTTCAAGTTTAAAGCTATAATTTGTATCCTTACATATTAGATGTGTCTACTTGAAATATTTTAGAAACTTCAATTATTTTTCCTGTAAATCCCTTCATTTCCTGAGTACTTGAGCAGATTTGAGAAGCTATTCTATCCTTTTAGATTACATACTTTTTCTATCTATTGATTCATAATTTTTTCATTTTCCATCTATTAGCCGTTCTTTTAAATCTTGAACACTTTATTCTTGTGGATTGTTTGACATTTCATAATTATGCCCCTATGTCTATATGGCTTCTACTTTTTACTTGAAATGACTATGGATGCTAGGGTGTTACTTTTTAAATTAAACTCGCGTAATAAAAAATTTAACCATGTTAAGTGGGCAAATTTTCATTGAAGTGATCATATTTGATACTGTAAGTTGGAGGAAAACTAGTTCCTAGACATGGTAAAGCGAGTGAGTAGTTAAGTACGCAGCTTATATGGGTATTGAAGTTGTTACGCGTATGGATATGTATGGGTATTTTTTTTTTCATTTGCGTGTTTAGCAACGAGTATTGTACTATTCTACTCAAACACCAATTGTCATCCTTATGTCTTGAAAGAGTTAGTAGCATGGAGTTATGAAAGCACTACTATATCTTGTACATTGAAGATAAACAGTCATTTTAAAATACCATATTTTTAGGTGACAGTGGCCTTTCTTGATCTCCTGTCACTTTGTATTATGAATATTAACATATAAGATATTTACACAAGCTGCTATAACACTTGTGCCTACAATTAGCTTCTCATACCCTGATATGGGACGATTACAAATTGGAACAGTTGATTGTTGAGAAGTGTCGATGAATAAAAATGAAAAGTAAAAAAAGAAAATAGCTACAGACTTATATGACGAATTAACTACCGTGGTTGATATTATTGGTTATATTTTCTTTTGGTTTTACCTGCACAGTTAGGTCAAGTTTCACACACGTTCTAACTTAAATTATTATTCTTAATTGAAGTTCATTTTGACACTATCGGTTTTGTTTACAAAAATATTATTTGTTTGCATACAATTGTACTGGATTTCTTCAGTGGAATGTGATATTTAGGTTCTTTTGATTGAATGCCATGAGCACTTTGGTTTAGAGTCTGAATCTTCCATAAAGCACTAGCGGTCTTACCTCTGTTTGCCACTGCTGGCAAACATTATGGTTTACTTGCTTCATTCTAAAATGTGTCTATTCAGCTTAACAAAGTTATATGATTTAAAGGTTTGTTGCCTATGTTTAACTGCTATCAAAAAGAGCACACATCATCCCCTTCTTGCATTGGCAAAATAGCTGTACATAAATATGCTTTCTTATCATGGCTTCACAAGGTGCCCAATGTAAAACATGCTGATTTTGAGTTATAAATTCTGCAATTTGCTGCAGCTTGGTCCAAAGGAAGAAGATGTTGAAAAGCCTGTAGATCCTTTTGTCTTCTTACCACGGTTTATTTTGGGTGTCCTGGCAGCTGCATGGTTTACATTAGTTCCTATTTACATGTGGCTCAAAGATCAAATTGTTCCCAAAGGTCAGCCAATATGAGATATTTGTAGTTAGTGTGTGCTTTGATACGATCAATGTCTCTGTTCAAAGTTCTATGAAATGTAAGATTATTACATATGCAGTTGAGAAATATTATATCAAGACTAATAATCGGTAGTTTCTTTTCCTAGTTGAGCTCTGTTTTTCTGCATGTTTTTTATTGGCCATGCTAATTTTATTGGTGAAGTGTCTAATAAAACCTTAATTTATAACTACACTTGTTATTATGTACTGCTCATTTGTAGTCCTGAGTTATTAGACGTCAAACATTAGACATTCCACATTCAAACATTGCTGTTAAAATGCCAAATCACATAATTATACAAATTATTCATCAATTCTCAATTCATGTGCTCAAATCTTCGACAACTCTAACAATGGCGTTACACATAAACAAAATCATATATACACAATTCCAGCCAGGAAAATAAGATAAATACACCTCCAATCATTGATTTTCAGAACCACAAATAATCAAGAACCACAAATAATCAACAATGATTCATGAACAATTCACACACTTCTTAAAGAGAGTAAGAGTCTCTCTTCTCTACTCTTTCATGCACAACATGGAAGATGGATCTTTAGAAGTCCTTTCTTCCCCTTTCTCTACTCTTTCATGCACAACATGGAAGATGGATCTTTAGAAGTCCTTTCTTCCCCTTTACTTTAGATCATTAGTTAAATTCTGAATTGGTGATAGTTTGCTCTTTCAACTCTATTTCACGTACTTGTAACTTTTAGGTCTCTAACTCTTTTTTTTAATCTCAAAAACCTAATTTAATTTTTAGGTAATTATCCTAAGACCCAACTTATCGCATAACTTTCACCACTTTTCTTATTTTTCTCTAATTTTTCTCTTTATTCTATTTTTCACCCATAAACTCATATTTGTACTTATTCTAATCCTTCTACTACTCTTGTTAATGCTCTCACTACACCTCATTAATGCCTCACATAAACATACAATTTAATATACATATTTAATTAAAAGCACCCCAAATACCAATTAATTAAAATACAAATAATTTAATTAATTAAACTCATCAAGTTTCGGGGTGTTACAACTCTTTTTCACTTATAACATTTACGCCCTTGAAAGTTACTTGAAGGAAACAGAGCCGAACACAACTCTTTTATCTAACTATCCATCTTCCATGTTGTGCTTCCACCAACAGGTCTCGCTATACCACCTTCACCAGCGCAATCTCTTTACCTCTCAAGTGATTCACTTCGCGATCCTCTACTTTTAAGGGAGATACCTTTACGGTCAAATTTTATCTAACTTGCACATCATCTACTTGAATTATATAAGATAGATCAAGAATATGCTTCCTTAAATGAGACACATGAAATACATCATGAAGATTCGAAAGAAACGACAGTAATGCAACTCTGTAGGCCACTTTTCCTACTCTCTTTATAATCTCATACAGACCAATGATATACGACGTGAGCTTTCGAGACTTCAAAGTTCGACCAACACTAGTTATTAGAGTAACTCTAAAAAACACATGATCCCTCTCTTGGAATTCAAGCGCATTTCTCTTCTTATTATGGTAACTTTTTTGACAACTCTTCGAAGCTTTCATCTTCTCTTGGATCATCTTAATCTTCTTAAAGGTCTGCTAAACAATCTCAGGTCCCAGTGCATCACTCTCACATGATTCGTACCAACATAAATGCGTCCTACACGTTATATCATATAAAGCCTCAAACGGTGTCATCCCAATACTAGAATGGAAATCATTGATGTAAGTGAACTTAACCAACGGTAAGTAACTGTCTCAGTTACCCCTGCTCCAAAACACAAGCTCATAGAAAATTCTCCAAAGATTGGATAATCCTCTCTGTTTGATCGTCTGTCTTCCGATGGTAAGCAGAACTCAGCTTCAGCTTAGTACCCACGACTTCCTTCAAACTTTTTTAAATCCTCGATGTGAATCTCGAATCTGTATCCAAAACAATACTCGAAGGAATACCATGCAAGCTAACAACCTTCTCAATATACAACTCGACTAACTTCTGCAAAGGATAGCTGATCTTTATCGGAATAAAATGAGACGATTTAGTCAGTCAGTCAACAATATCCCAAATGGAATTACATCCCTTCGTCGTTTTCGCAAACTCGTCACAAAATCCATGAAAATGCTATCCCATTACCACTTAGGAATGCTCAACGCTTGCATAAGACCCAACGACTTCTGATGTTCAATCTTCGACTTCTGACAAGTCAACTAAGCATAAGTAAACTCAACCACTTCCTTCTTCATTCCTTTCCACTAAAACATTCTCCTTAAGTCTTGATACATATTCATGGGACCAAGATGAATACTAAGACTAATCATATGTTTCCTCAAGAAAACTATTCTTAAGTCCTGATACATCTAGTACACAAACCTTGTCTCTGAATCTCATCACACCATTCTTGTCGATTCTTTGACCTTCTATGATTTCTTCAAGGATACCATTGGTCAACTTTAACATATCTAAATTCACACTATTAGGAGTTTCTTCGCACACCAAACTCATGTCTTTGAATTGCTCGATCAATTCTAACTATCGAACCATCAACATCGACATATGCAAAGACTTTCTACTTAACGCATCAACTGTAATGTTGACTTTACTCGGATGGTAACTCAAGCAAAAATTATAATCCTTCCGAAATTTAAGCCATCTCATATGTCTCATATTCAACTCCTTCTGATCGAATAGATGCTTCAAACTCTTATGGTTACCGAACACTTCAAATCTAGAACAAAACAGATAATGCTTCTAAATTTTTAACACAAACACCACAACTGCCAACTGTAGCTCATGTGTATGATAATTCCTCTCATGAACTTTCAACCGTCTAGAAGCATAAGCCACAACTTGACAATTTTGCATAAACACGCCTCTTAGACCCATCTTCGAAGCATCATAATACACAACAAAAGACTCACTTGGATTCAGCAAAATCAAAACTAGAGCAAATGTCAACTTCCTCTTGAGTTCTTGAAAACTCACCTCAAAATGCACATCCCAAACTTAAGCTTGACCCTTTCGAGTCAACTGAGTTAAAGATAATTCTAACTTTAAAAAGCCTTCGATAAACCTCATGTAATAACCATACAAAGTACATATAGAATATCATCGATGAACACCACCACAACCGGGTCTAAGTACGGATATAATATTATATTCATTTACTCGATGAACACTCTAAGCGCATTAGATACACCAAACGACATCATCGAATACTCATAGTGACCATATCTCGTCTTGAACTCAGCCTTCAGAATATCGTTTGGTTTCACTCAAATTTGATGATAACCCGACCGCTAATCAATCTTATTAAACACACAAGCGCCAACCAATCGGTCCATCAAATAGTCAATTCTTGAAAGAGGATATTTATACTTGATCGTCATTTTATTCAATTGTCGATAATCAACACACAACCTCATGCTACCATCTTTCATCTTGACTAACAACATCGACGCTTCCCACGCTGAAACACTTGATCAAACAAACTTTTTCTCTAGCAACTCTTTCAATAGCTTCTTCAACGCACTCAACTTTGAAGCCGACATCCTATACAGAGCCATCGATACAGGAGTAGTACCAGATACTAAGTCTATGGCAAAATTAACCTCGCACTTCGAGGATAAATCACTAATATCATCTGGAAACTATTAGACGAGGGCCAAGATCTTGAGGGGGGGGGGGGGGGAGGGGGTTGAATCAATCACCAAATCACAATTTTCTTATTAAAATTCTGTTTTAAAAAATATTTTTTTCTAACAAGTGGAAGCGAATCCGGATCGACTCTCGTCTATCTGAACCGTTATTGGTAGAATCAGATATGCGTATAAACCATAGTATAACATATGTTAAAGAAGAGAAAAGAAAACCAACAAGTTTTATATGATGTGTTTGAATATAAACCACACAATGATAAATGGTTTCCAATGAAAAGTAAAAATAAACTTGACTAAGGAGTTTTATCGAACACTTAGTGTGCAGTCAAACTATCAAACATTTGGTGTGCAATACACCAAGCCTAATTCTCTTTGTGTTGAAGTGTAACAAATCAATTGCAAATGTTTAGATTACAATGGTTTCACAAAATAATTTAAGACACTTCAACACAACCAGAATTTTCAGCAATTCAAATTACACATTAAGTGTTATCAAAATGTAGAGAGAGAGAGAGAGAGAGAGAGAGAGAGAGAGAGAGAGAGAGAGAGAGAGAGAGAGAGAGATTTGTTTAGGCAGTTCCTCAATTGTCCTCACTATGGGTACGTCTGCCATCAATTTGAAATCGAATTAAGATATTATAATTAACCTTTGCAATATCAGTTTACAAGATAAGTAATAGCAATTCAAACCCCAAAACCCTATGTTTGATGTTGTATCCTAGCTTCTTCTCTTCCCTTGATCTTAGCTAGATAAAGTCATATAAGTCCTCTAATTTGATTTTTTGGTTACCGCTGCTCCTTTGACCGAACCTCCGTTCTTCAAAGCTTTCACTCGGATGAATCCAAATTTTGAAATCTTAACCCAAGTCTTCCAATTAATCCTCCGGTTGCTGCTAGTCCTTTGCAAGAACTCCCCGTTCTTTAAATCTTTCACTCAATTGAATCCAAGTTGCAAAGACATGTGCAAAAAACCCAAAATAAACCATTGATCTTGGAGGAAAAACCCTAAAGGTTTTATCAATGAAACCTCTAAAGAAAAAATTAACCCAATTTGATTACACCAACCTAAATTGGACCCTGCCAATCTTATCTTGATGACAAACAACATAAATGATTATGTGTAGTTGTTGAATGCTTGCAAAGAAAGGTTGGAGATGATGAAAAATTTCTAAGTGTCTTCTAGGTTTCAAAATGTTTGGAAAAGATCCATGAGTGCATATTTATATGTATGTGGGTAGGAAAAAAAACAAACAAAACATATTATTTTTAGCCAAAATTACAAGTTTTGAAAAGATCGAGTCAATACAAGTATTG